TTTTTCGTTTTTTCTCGTTTTTCTTTCAATTCCTTTCATTTTTCTCAAGTCTTTTCCATATTTCGTTTTTTTTTTCTTACTTTTTTCTGCTTTCTTTTCTGTCGAATTCTTGATATGGCTTCGATTTTCATTTTTTTTTTCTTTTTCCGTTTTTCTGTCTATTCTTTTCCAAATTTCATATCTCTCTTTTACTTCTTTTCTTTCCTTACTTTCTCTATTTATCTCTTTTTCTTTTTCTTTCTTTCTTTCTTTCTTTCTTTCTTTCTTTCTTTCTCATTCTTCTCTTTTTTCTTTTTCTTTTTCAGCATTTCGTTTTTATCGTTCTCTTTTTCCTTTCGTTCGCTCCTTTCATTCTCCCCATCATTCATTCCTTTCATCTTGCTTTGTTTGTTTCTTGTGAAAAAAAAAGAAATGAGTAAATTAAGAGAGAAATATTGAGAAGAGAAAGAATAAAATTAGTGCATTATTCTTTACTGTCTTTTTTTTTTATTTATTTTCTTATTCTTTCCTTTGCTTAATCTTTCTTTTTCATTTTGCTTTTCTCTTCACATTTTTTTCTTGTTTCATTCTACACTTTTCTTGACTTTTGTTTCTTTTCTTTTGTTATATCATTTGCTTCATTATTTCTTTCCTTCTTTCCTTCTTCGATTCTATGCTAATTTTCTTTTCGATTCATCATTTTCCATTCTTCAGATTTTCCCTCTCTTTTCCCCTCTCTCTCTCTCTCTCTCTCTCTCTGAATTCAACTTCCTTATTTCTCCCTATTTTCTTTCTTTATATTCTTTTTCTTTCTTTCTTTCTTTCTTTCTTTCTTTTATCGTCTCTATGCTAATTTTCTTTTCGATTCATCATTTTCTCATATTCATATTTTCCTCTCTCTTTTCCGCTCTCTCTCTCTCTTTTTCTCTGATTTCAATTTCCTTATTTCTTCCTATTTTCTTTCTTTATATTCTTTTTCTTTCTTTCTTTTTTCATTTTTTCTTTCTTTCTTTCTTTCTTTTATCGTCTCTATGCTAATTTTCTTTTCGATTCATCATTTTCCCATATTCCTATTTTCCACTCTCTTTTCCGCTCTCTCTCTCTCTCTCTTTCTCTCTGATTTCAATTTCCTTATTTCTTCCTATTTTCTTTCTTTATAGTCTTTTTCTTTCTTTCTTTTTTCTTTCTTTCCTCCTTTTTTCTTTCTTTCTTCTTTCTTTCTTTCTTTTATCGTCTCTATACTGATTTTCTTTTCAGTTCATTATTTTCCCTTCTTGACATTTTCCCCTCTCTTGTTCGCTCTCTCTCTCTCTCTCTCTCTCTGTGTCTCTCTCTGATTTCAACTTCCTTATTTCTTCCTATTTTCTTTCTTTATATTCTTTTTCTTTCTTCCTTCCTTTCTTTCTACCTTTCTTTTATCCTCTCTATGTTGATTTTCTTTTCAGTTAATCATTTTTCCTTCTTCACATTTCCCCCTCTATTGATCGCTCTCTCTCTCTCTCTTTGATTTCATCTTCCTTATTTCTTACTATTTTCTTTCTTTATACTCTTTCTTTCTTTATATTCTTTCTTTCTTTCTTTCTTTCTTTCTTTCTTTGCCTCTATGCTGATTTTCTTTTCAATTTGTCATCCTTCCTTACAATTTCTCCTTCCACATTGACTCCCTCTCACACACACAAGCACACTCTATCTCTCACACACTAGCTCACACACATATATACACCTATTTCACACACAATCTAACTCTAACTCACAGACAAATACACACTCTCTCACATGAACACATACATAATATCTCGCTTACACACACAAAGAACACACACACTCACTGTCCATCTCTCACACATACACACTCTCACTCTTTCTTTCCCTCTCTCACACATATACACGCACACTCACTCTCTGTCTCTCTCTTACACACACATACACTTTCTCTCACATGCAAACACACATACTCTCTCTCTCTCTCTCATACAAACACTTTCTCTTACACACACCTTTTCTCTCACACACACTCTCTCTCTCTCACACATACATATACTTACACACACTTAATACTCTCTTTCTTACACACACATACAAACACACACTCACTGTCTGTCTGTCTCTCACGCACTCTCTCATTCTTTCTCTCTCTCACATACACGCACACTCAATGTCTATCTCTCTCAAACACTCACACACATTCTCTCACATACACACACATACACACACATACTCTCTCTCGCACACACACAAACACTTTCTCTCACACACATTCTTTCTCTCTCTCTCTCACAAACACACACCCACTCACAAACTCTCTCTCTCACACACACACACACACACACACACACTCTCTCTCTCTCTCTTTCTCTCTCTCTCTCTCTCTCTCTCTCTGGCTTTACCATTTTTATTCTGTTACGGGTGTTCCATCGAGGAATTATTAGTGGAATGGTTTACATTCTATTCGGTCGACTCCTGCTTCTGGTATAATGTTAGCTCCCTGTTTTAGGGCCATATCACGTTGAAACCCCAGTTCTCATACGATCACTGAAGTTAAGCAGCGTCGATCTTGGTCAGTACCTAGATGGGTGACAGAAAAGCTGAGACAACTTCAGAGTACTGAACTATTATGTGATATATAACACATATAGCGGAAAGGCGGTTCAACAGAAGGATGCTGAGGATACTGTTGGCCGAATATGAGAGAATCGACGAAGTTATAGAGAAAATGGAAACAAAAAGGACACTGATAC